CCAAATAGGGAATGGAGGCACTACTAGCAGTGCAGTGGAGAGGTAGCCTCCAAATAGGGGATGGAGGCACTACTAGCAGTGCAGTGGAGAGGTAGCCTCCAAATAGGGAATGGAGGCACTACTAGCAGTGCAGTGGAGAGGTAGCCTCCAAATAGGGAATGGAGGCACTACTAGCAGTGCAGTGGAGAGGCTGCCTCCAAATAGGGGATGGAGGCACTACTAGCAGTGCAGTGGAGAGGTAGCCTCCAAATAGGGGATGGAGGCACTACTAGCAGTGCAGTGGAGAGGCTGCCTCCAAATAGGGGATGGAGGCACTATTAGCAGTGCAGTGGAGAGGCTGCCTCCAAATAGGGGATGGAGGCACTACTAGCAGTGCAGTGGAGAGGCTGCCTCCAAATAGGGGATGGAGGCACTACTAGCAGTGCAGTGGAGAGGCTGCCTCCAAATAGGGGATGGAGGCACTACTAGCAGTGCAGTGGAGAGGCTGCCTCCAAATAGGGGATGGAGGCACTACTAGCAGTGCAGTGGAGAGGTAGCCTCCAAATAGGAGGTCACGAAATCCTCTCCGAACCTCCACGTGGTGTGGCCTGGTTGGCACTAACGGGTGGTGTGCTCTCTTGTTGAGTACAAAGGTTGGGCCTTGCCAACTCAAAGTTCCCATAGGAATCAGGAAGTCAACACTAACAGCTACCAAGCACCAGGAAATTTCTCTTTCAGATATCAGGTTACAAGATAGTACACACACAATTGACGATACATTAGACACAGATACCTAGCTCTAAGAGCTACTAAATCACCAGGAAATTCTCTTTCAGCTTTCAGGTCCCATCGAAGTCACCCACCACAGAGCTAGGGATTCCAATTCGCTCATCCTGACTACAAGGACACACTGATAATGAGTAGTCCTGGCACTTCTCCCTCCAGTAACCACTTTTCAGGTCTTTTCAGTTAAGACAGCTAATGCGTAAGGGCTGACACACGCTAGACACAGGCTCGTGATAAGACAGAATTAGGGATTTAAACTCTGACTACGAGGACACACTGATAGCGAGAATTCCTGGCACTTCTTCCTCCAGTAACCACTTTTCAGGGGACCGGGTTAGCTTTGCCACACTCTTCATTGAAGTGTGACTGGACGCTCTACAATCATCTAGTAGCAGCAGAGTTTGACTGACACCCTTACTGGTTCTATTCAGTTTCTACAGCAGAAGATCTCAACACTCGAAAACAGTTCATCTCGGACATCCTGCAGAGCTGCTTTTTCACAGCCTGCCCCATTACACGGGGAACCCTTAGATCTACAGTACCCTGGTGGCGAGCATAGCTCACTAAAGCATAGTGGACCTCTTTAGTTCTGAGACGCAAAGCTAACCGGATCAGGAATAAACATCAATGCAATGCTTAGGGGATGCAAATAGAACATACAATGTTTATCGAATGCATTACTCAATCTTTTGATTCATTTTTTTAGCTCGACGTTACATGGTAACATTTCAGGACTGACATTCCTCCTTCAGGTTAATTGAGGAAATCATACCCGCTATTTGCGTTATACATGGCAAGTATCTGGACTTATGATAACTTAGGATCTCCATCAATCATAAATTCCTCTCAGATTCCCAGGCTGCATTTATAGCGCTTAACAGCACCAGTTTTAACTCCAGGTTCGTTCTGAACATCTCAGACCAACTCACTAGGTATTCACATCGAGTAGGACTTGGTTCCAGGACATTAAGGAGTATACGGTAAAGAACTAGCGGAAGAATTCGCAAGGGACGATCAATCCAACAACATCCCCATAGGACCAGAACCCTTCCTCCCAAATAGGCCACACTCAGTGACAAAGGAACATTCCACTTATGATGTTCCTCCACAAATTAAATACAGGAACTTTTATTTTTCTGGAACTCACATCAGATGGCTAACATGGTCGCTTTCAGAATAGGTCACAGCCCACTAGTTTATTTTCAGAACGTGGCAAACAACGTCAACTTCAAGACGCAAGATTGCGAACACTTTTCAGGAGAAGCAGCAACATCCCAGCACCTCCTCTACAAGTGCATCCAGATCATGACGTTCAGAATGAGGATAATTGGTAAACTCTACCTTAACAACAGTAAACTACATCATATCTTCAAATTTGTGGAACAGTCGACAAGACTGGATAGGGAAAACCCTTTTGGGTAACCTCCTTGGATTCTTCACCAGGAACTTTCGCTAAATCCCATACTAGGAACTCAACCTAGGCCCATCTCCGCATAGAGACATATCTCCCAGGCTTTGACCTTGCTCGGAAGTCCCTTGTCTACCCGCAGAAGTACTACAACGGAAGTGGGTTTGCTCTGAGACAGGTAGTGACAGCTTCAAGACTCCAGGGGTCTGTTGCATTGATATTTATTATTTTATGATTTCGTATATACTTTGGGAGTCCTGGCGTGCAGCTAGCAGGAGTTGCATTCTGTGGGCACGGTGAGAAGGCCTCCATCTTAACGTAAGAGGCCAGAAACCGTTGACCAGAACAGAGAGAGAGAGAGCCTCCAAATAGGGGATGGAGGCACTATAAGCAGTGCAGTGGAGAGGCAGCCTCCAAATAGGAGATGGATGTAACTCTGCATTTCCTAATTAGATGACACAGATTTGTGCATGTTAAACCGGAGAAAGGCTTCATAAGTTGGAGACTTGATTTTAACAGCAGGCTAGAGATGTGCCAAATTCTTGCATGTTATTTTATTCAACATAAGCTTCCTACTCTGCTATGTGCGCACCAAATGAAATTAGTGACTATTGACTAAAGCTTTATAAATGCTATTAGAAATTGAGAACAGCAAGTAATGTTGACTAGACAAATCGGCAATTGTTTTATCTTCCATCCTCAGACAACTCAAATAATTTTACCGTATATTCGTAGTTAAAATAAGTATTTGCATGTCCCTGACCATATCCAAAGGCCGAGAAAGTATAATGTTCGGTAAAATGAGGGCTCGGAAAAGGTAGCACTAAGGGCGTTGAAACATATCAGTTTTTAAAGAGTAAAGACCACATTGAAAATTGGACAGTAATTATATTCTCAAAGTAAATTTGTTTACGGTGTGAAGACACATTAAATCCCCATTACAATGGCGTATCTGTGCAGTAACTCTTTTAATTGAAAATTGTAACAGTAACTGTCGATGGAATTACAACTGCACTGACACAATGCCTGCTGGCTGTTGAGGGAAATGTTTGGATTTATATCCGGGAAGCTATTTAGATTTTAGAAGGGATGATATTCTTAAGTTAGTTCTTAGGGCCAACATTTTTGAAGCAGCAGTCGAGGATAAAGGAATGTTCTGGTATAAAGCAATTAAATTAGTGATAAGATGATGAAAGATTTCAGTTTGTTTTCTAATAATAACCTCATACCTTTCTGTGTATTTGAATAGTAATTGACTAATATTACCAGCTTTATCTCCACACCTTGGTTACAATATATCATATGGTATTTTACTACTAGACTGGAACATCCAATAAAGTACAAAGGACTAAATGATCTTTACCTAAACCTCCTCAGTTTCTGAATAAGTATTATATCGCGAGATACGGAATATTGAAAAACTTACGTAGCACGTTTTGGTTCACCGGGCTCCTTGACTCTTTTCCTCTTCTTCTTTTTACCGTTAGCAAATTCAGGAGCAGGCACATATCTGGACATTTCATCTTCAAATCTTACACCGTCTTTTTCAGCCTCCAATACGTAAGGAATCTTCTTGTCGTCTGTCAAGGCTCCCCATGTTGCGCTTAGGTTCGTCATAAATACTGAAACGGAAAGTCACGTTATAAATTATCTGATTATGATATCAACCAGTCAGTTTAAGCAGTGATCAAAGGGGCTAAAAGCTTTTAGAGTTATTACACAAAGATCATAGAGTATGCTAGACCAATGCGCGCCGCGCACTTTACATCACGGTAACTGCTTTAATGATGTGCTTTCATTAACAAAATTTCCAAATTTCTACAAAGTACACAGTTACTACAACTTTAAAATGCTGTTTTTTACGACGCGCGGCATGGGACACACATTGTAAATGGCGGGCGAAACAACGCAGGTCAAGCAAAGAACAAACAAGCTGGGATTTATTATGTTGCAGTTATGGTATACTTATCGAATACCTATCTTAACTGGGAATAAAAGATTTTACTGCCTTAAAAAACAAAAGAAGATTTCTGGAATTTTCCTAGGACAAACCTCCGAGGTCAACTTTAGTCTCTGGATTCAGTCTCTTGAATTCCATCATTTGTTCGCTCCTGAAAACATCGAAGGCAGACTTTTTCTTCTTAGGCTTGTTAGGATCCTTCATAGGTTTGGCGGTTCGTTGAGGGGGAACATACGGGTAATAGCCTGAGGCGACGGAAGCCATCGCTAAAAAGAAACTTGGTTATTGAAATCTTACTTTATTAAACCAAACTTAGGATACAGCAGAGAGGACAATTATAAAGAAAAACATCGCAATAATATCAACCGTAAATTATTGATTATGAAAATACACAAAAACTGAAGAAATGATTAATTTCTCAATAAGAGGTTCATTATAGCTTGAGGGAGGGGGGGGGGGGGGGCCAACGCCCTAAAAGGCCCTAAAAAGCCCTGATTTCTAGGGCCCTTTTTAGATTTTCGATGCGCCTAAGGCCTTTTAGGGCCCTAGAATTAACTTCAGTTTTATCAAGTCTAATATATGCCAGATACTTTAATGATATTAACGAAACTAATTTCACTGTAAATATCAAATATTGCTATGTTTTATATTGTATATCACTAGATAGGGGGGGGGGGGGGGGGGGGGGGGGGGGGGGGGGGGGGGGGGGGGGGGGGGGGGGGGGGGGGGGGGGGGGGGGGGGGGGGGGGGGGGGGGGGGGGGGGGGGCAACGCCCCAAAAGGCCCCGATTTCTAGGGCCCTTTTCGGATTTTCAATGCGTCTAGGGCCTTTTAGGGCGTTGGCCCCCCCCCCCCCCCCCCCAGCTTACATAATTTAACATTTATAATACACTTTGTACAGTACCTAATATTATATACATCTTAAAAACTTGTGACCAACACTATCATTCGACCGGAAACGCCGATTTTAACAGATATCTGAAATATAAACATTGAACTTAAGTGTTTTACCATAAAATAACTGAATAAACTTAAATACTTAGATAACATATTTTCATGGTTGTCGGGCTGCCTGTTCCTCCATTGCTGCCATAACTCGCTGATCTATAATTGTAAAACCTCCCAGTTTCACGGAAAGTTCCTCCAATGGCAGATTTTTAGCCCACGCCACGAAATCTTCTTCGTCAATTACTGAAGTTCCTGAGGTAAATTTAAACATTTCATTGTCACATTTAGTAATGTCAAGCAAGGAATGTTTATGTTATGAATATAATCTAATAATGTCTTCTTACTGTCTTGCATATAAAAACATGCAAATTTTTAGATTCTTAAATTCATTAGTATTTGATGATTACTTGCGCAAGCATATAGTTTAACAGCGACAGCAAGTGGTCTAAAGTTTATGAATGATTGACTCATACGGAGAGAAATATGATTGGAAAAGTGCCAATATTATCACAAAAGAATAATGTGGATCAAAGAAAAGGCTAGTAATCTCCATAACAATTAAACAACCAAGCCAACTATGTTAGATCGGATTAGGAACATTTCTGTGTGTGCGAATATAAACAAGAGGCCTATTTACATACAACATGAGAAAATGGAGAGTTGAGCGTGAACAATCACTTTCAGTTCTAGTTCCTTGTTAAAACGTATTGCAACACAGTTCACTGAACAAACAAACAAACAAACAAAAAAGTTAGAACAATCAACTACTCTTAACAAGTTATTGGCAGACATTTGATTTCTAACCTAAACAAGCGAGGGAAGCAGGCATTTGATTTCTCACCTAAACAAGCGAGGGAGGCAGGCATTTGATTTCTCACCTAAACAAGCGAGGGAAGCAGGCATTTGATTTCTCACCTAAACAAGCGAGGGAAGCAGGCATTTGATTTCTCACCTAAACAAGCGAGGGAGGCAGGCATTTGATTTCTCACCTAAACAAGCGAGGGAAGCAGGCATTTGATTTCTCACCTAAACAAGCGAGGGAGGCAGGCATTTGATTTCTAACCTAAACAATCGAGGGAAGCAGGCATTTGATTTCTCACCTAAACAGTAAACAAGCGAGGGAAGCAGGCATTTGATTTCTCACCTAAACAAGCGAGGGAGGCAGGCATTTGATTTCTTACCTAAACAAGCGGTTATTGGCAGGCATTTGATTTCTAACCTAAACAAGCGGTTATTGGCAGGCATTTGATTTCTAACCTAAACAAGCGAGGGAAGCAGGCATTTGATTTCTTACCTAAACAAGCGAGGGAAGCAGGCATTTGATTTCTCACCTAAACAAGCGAGGGAAGCAGGCATTTGATTTCTTACCTAAACAAGCGAGGGAAGCAGGCATTTGATTTCTTACCTAAACAAGCGAGGGAAGCAGGCATTTGATTTCTTACCTAAACAAGCAGTTATTGGCAGGCATTTGATTTCTTACCTAAACAAGCGAGGGAGGCAGGCATTTGAGCGGCTATCATTCTGATCTGATCTAAATCCTCAGTGTCAGGTCGGACGGCTCTTATAACCTCGGTTACTGTCTCAGCGGTCAGTGGATCTCCATTATTCAGTATCTGGAATAGAGTCTGCAGTCTCTCTTCCATAGTCATAGTTTGCCAAATGTACAGGATTCGACAGAAATCTGTGAAACTGAAATTTTAAACCATTACATTGTTGAATATTTTAAATACCGCAAGGTTGAGTATTTCATTAGCCACGGGTTACACTAGTATATTATATAATATGCATATGACTCAAGTCTAGTGTGGGAGGGAAAGAGCTGTGACATTTCCCGTTTCCAAATTATAATACCCAAACAGTCCAAAATAAACATGACAGCAGATAAGGCGGTGTACCTGATTTCACCGTCTGCCGTGGTCGGAATGCTATCAATAACTCGATACATGATAACATCACCTTCATACTCCGCACGCAACCGATCTACTGACAAAATACCGTCCTCGTCACAGCCCATCTCGCTCCATCTCTGCCACTGTCAGGTGGTTGATAAGGTGGTTATAATGTGGTTACTTCACACTGATTTAAGGAACTGTAACATCATTATGGGTCACAGCAAACAATCATAATTTTCTAAGAAACTTACAAACAAACACAATAGCGAACTGCAAAGATCACCACTGATCGACTAGACAACATAATCTCCAATAACATCACCTTCATACTCCGCACGCAATTCAACAACACTTACCTCTCTCAGCACAGCTACAAAAGACAGTTTGCTCTGGCGACTTATTTCAGCGATGCTCTCCTTGGGGTAGTGTATCTTAATTAGGGCCTCACCTTTCTGCGAGGATGCACCCGCTCCCATCTACTTTCTCGTCTACTTTATCATCTACATTATCTAGCTAGAACATGGGATACGGTTACTAAATGCTGGTATTCTATCATTACTTAATCATAAAGACATCACCGACAAACATTTAACAATAAAATCATGATTTGAGATGTCGGGAAAACACCTCCAAAGCAATAAAAACCTCGCTAGTACTTCCTTTACAACTCTACTATAATGTAATGAAATAACACGTCCGTATAACACACACTAACAACAACCCAGCTGTAAATGTGACAGTATTAGCCGGGGTTGAAGTCGTGTGGAAGTTAAGTCACTGAGAGAGCCCAGCTGTAAGTAAACGTGCGGTGTTAGATGTGATGTCACGTGACATGAAATTACACGTGACATGTAGTAAACGTGTACTCTAGTCTTGTTGCAGGGAGTTGTGGTAACTTGTGTGGTATCTTCTGATATCTGTGTTATATGCGGGAGTAATATGGGGGGGGGGGGGGGGGGGTAACCCGTAACAGGCAGAGGTATTATAACGTCTGTAGTACAGTTTGTAAGCTCAGAGCTACCTCCTTATCGGTCCTTATGCCGGTCCATAATTTTAACATTTTCTAATTCTGATATTGGAATTCATCTCCATTAACCTCGGATAAATAAAGCCATACTTTACCAAGTTTAGAAATTAGTTTAAAGTAATCTGTATACACGGTATAGAACGTGTGCTATAAATTTACCTGACTTACTTTAAGTAACACGTTACAATGAGAATTAAGGGACTAATCGAGCTACTGTATCCAACAAGTACAAAACGTTTGCGGAGGGAAACGTGTGCGGAGGGTACACCGCTCATTAACCGCAGCACAGATAAAGTAGGGAAAATTACCGTCCATCGTTCTCAGATGAAAGGATTTACAAAGCTGGCGACAAAAGAGAGAGCCAGAGAGAGAGAGAGAGTGCTAGATGTAGGGGGAGAAGTAAGCTGCCGAAGTTTACACACATGCTACTGTGCTACATAATACATTACCACTGCAGAGGGGGGGGGGGGGGGGGGGGGGGTGATACTACATTACAGTGGCTGTGGTAGGTTCAAATTTCAAGCCACCAGGTTCCACCTCTCACTTATTATTTCCCTCTCTCCAGCTCCCTCTAGCTCTCTCCAGCTCTATTTGTCTGGGGAGGAATGGAATGGTCTAGAAGTAAATACTAGCACATCACGTGTGCTCCATGTGAAGGGTGCAGGCGTGTTAGAGAGGAAATGGGTTGAACAATATAACAAATATCACCTTTAACTTAGTTTGTTAAAATTTATACCACTTTAAAAGGTTAAAAAGTCTCGTTCACACTTTCTCATACATAATAATTGGTAAATCAAGTAAGGTCTCAACTCTCACAACAGTTATCAATAATCCTATGCTATGCGGAATCAACCTCAACATTGTCAGTATAACAGACACTCTCAATAAATACTACCAGTCTACGAAGATAATATAAACGGTAAAATTACTCACTTTTTGTGTTAAATGCTTACATTATCTCTGAAGCCAAATTGACTGTAAGTATATTATATAGTATGAATTGAATTAGAAGCCTGCCATATTGACCTAGCTATAATGGCCTGGTAGATATAATCGTTAGTAATACAATCAGTGAGACAATAGTAGTTGAGGGTATTAGACTAACTGAGGGTATCAGAGAGAGACTGAGAGAGAGAGAAGGTATCAGATTGTATTACAGGAGAGGAAGAATTAACATAATTAACTGTAGATTTACTAAAAGAAGGAAATACAAAGGAATACAAAAACTTAAAATCTAACGCAATGCTTATGAAAGAATAACATGTATAATATGAGGTGATTAAAGAATGTATAATAATGTAATAATATATAATAATAATAATAAAGAATTACATAAATCACGAGACTGTAGTGTTTAATGCGAGCTGAAATGGGCGCTACTCTTCCGACAAATTACTTTACAACACTACTGAGACTCCAATACTATAACATTACACCACAATTATTATATTTAATGTATCAAGGTAGCAGTTAAAGATGAAATCAGGCTACTATAAATGTTAAATCATCTCTCAAAGTACGGAGGAGACAAATGTAACGTTAAATTTAAAACACGTTATTTAGCAGCAGTTACAACAAAATATTACACTCTAACAAAGCAGCCTGGAGAGAGAGAGAGAGAGAGAGAGAGAGAGAGAGAGAGAGAGAGAGAGAGAGAGAGAGAGAGAGAGAGAGAGAGAGAGAGAGAGAGAGAGAGAGAGAGAGAGAGAGAGAGAGAGTATATCGAATATCACTAAAAGATTACATCACGCCTCACGTCCCCAGCTTTAAACACACCACTCACCAGATACAGTGTTACAGTGTTACTGTTACAGTGTTACTGTTCCAGTGTTACTGTTACAGTGTTACTGTTACAGTGTTACTGTTACAGTGTTACTGTACAGTGTTACTGTTACAATGTTACTGTTACAGTGTTACTGTTACAGTGTAGGTGGAGATTACTAGGGTATCAGGGATTAAACCTCGTTATGTACCCACATGTATAGAACACTACAGAGACAACTGATAAAAAGTGTACACAAAGGTAAGGGACTATTGCGGACAGCTACCAGTTACAAAGTGTACAAAAACTGATGAGATATATCCTGCACAGCCATATACACGCACACTGCGAACAGAGAGGGCAGTAAACGCATGACACTCAGAGCTACAGAGAGAGAATATTATATGTGTATATTACAAGGCACATCAGCTCACTGAGTGAGCCAGAGAGAGAGCCAGAGAGAGAGAGCTTTTAAATGCTAGCTGTGCTCGAGCATAATATTATGTAACATTATAATATAGAGTCAAAGTAATTTGTCGGATATTTTATATGGCCACAAGTCGTATATATATATATATTAATAAAGAGAGGGAGGTAGAGAGACGGAAGGAGGGAGGGAGGGAGGGAGGGAGGGAGGGAGGGAGGGAGGTAGAGAGATGGAAGGAGGGAGGGAGGGAGGGAGGGAGGGAGGGAGGGAGGGAGGGAAGGAGGGAGGGAGTGAAGGAGGGAGAGAGAGAGAAGGAGAGAGAGAGAGAGAAGGAGAGAAGGAGGGAGGGAGGGAGGGAGGGAGAGAAAAGGAGGCACAATGTGGTGTATTGCAGAACTGTTGTCTGTTTGTGAGCAGATTAGAGAGAGAGGGAGGTAGAGAGACGGAAGGAGGGAGGGAAGGAGGGAGGGAGGGATGGAGGGAGGGAGCTGAGGGAGGGAGAGACGGAAGGAGGGAGGGAAGGAGGGAGGGAGGTAGAGAGATGGAAGGAGTGAGGGAGGGAGGGAGGGAGGGAGAGAGAGAAAAGGAGGCAAAACGTGGTGTATTGCAGAACTGTTGTCTGTTTGTGAGCAGATTAGAGAGAGAGGGAGGTAGAGAGACGGAAGGAGGGAGGGAAGGAGGGAGGGAGGGATGGAGGGAGGGAGGGAGGGAGTGAAGGAGGGAGAGAGAGAGAAGGAGAGAGAGAGAGAGAGAAGGAGAGAAGGAGGGAGGGAGGGAGGGAGGGAGGGAGAGAGAGAAAAGGAGGCACAATGTGGTGTATTGCAGAACTGTTGTCTGTTTGTGAGCAGATTAGAGAGAGAGGGAGGTAGAGAGACGGAAGGAGAGAGAGAGAGAGAAAGAGAGAGAGAGAGAGAGAGAGAGAGAGAGAGAGAGAGAGAGAGAGAGAGAGAGAGAGAGAGAGAGAGAGAGAGAGAGAGAGAGAGAGAGAGAGAGAGAGGGACAATGTGACAATGTGGTGTATTGCAGAACTATTTGTGATTAGATTACCATGTCCATTATTCCCCGCTGATTTTATATGTGAATATATTTTAGATCGTGTGCATGTGTGTGTTTTATATAAGCTTGTTTGAGTTTCAGGACGTTATTGTACCTGTCTGATTGGTTCTAAATGTGGGGTCAGGACGGCGGTAATGAAGTTAATATCTTGGAACGGTAAAGTTCTGCCACCCTATAATAAACCTATATAATATACTGTAACCTTAATTAGTTTTACACTCTGGGCGACTCAAAGGGACGAGTAATTTCCAACTGAGAGGGGCCAGTGTGGGGCCCACTTTGTGTGTGTTGTGTCTGAGAGGGGGTCTGAGAGGGGGTCTGAGAGGGGGTCTGAGAGGGAGTCTGAGAGGGGGTCTGAGAGGGAGTCTGAGAGGGGGTCTGAGAGAGGGTCTGAGAGAGGGTCTGAGAGGGGGTCTGAGAGAGGGTCTGAGAGATGGTCTGATAGAGGGTCTGAGAGGGGGTCTGAGAGGGGGTCTGAGAGGGGGTCTGAGAGGGGGTCTGAGAGGGGGTCTGAGAGAGGGCTGGTGTTATTACATTTTCTTAGCTTAACCGTCATGTTTAAATCATTACTCGTGAGTCATTAGGATATAGTTATAAAGAGTTCTTACGAATGTGCTTAGTAAACGTGCTGCAGAAAGTTTTCTAATCTGTGGACACCTTGAGTGTGGTGTTACTTTTTAAGTTTAATCCTGCATTCGAAGTAACGAGTAATAAGTATTCGTGCCAGCTGATAAGTCATGATACAGGAAATGAAATTATGAAATCTAACAGCTACATCAAATAATGCAATAAAACGAGTCTGATAGTTATTTACAGTTGAAATTCAAATAAAAGATAGCAAAATAATGATAACAATACAATCATTGTGTAACTAATCTGAGAAAACATAGATTTTACAACAATAAATACAAAAATTAGTAAATCATTTCATTTAACAAATATAATAACAATCTTATAAAATAAAAACAGAGACTGGCACACATTACTCTACCCATATAATTGTCACTGTGATTTGAACCTGTCTGGTTCCATATTCCGTGTACATCTTCTAAAAATACTGTTTCTGAACAAATAACTCGATAAAAATATGGTAGTTAGGCACACAGGTAGTATAAAAGTTTTTTGATAGATTTTCGTGATTTACATTTCATCAAACCCAAATGCAGAGTCTGAATCAAACCATGAACTTGCTTCGACCTTAATTTTTTGTTTCTTCTTTTCATTAGCTTCTTTTCTCTTAAGATAAGCATCTGGAAGTTTGACTCCCCGTTTTTGTGCACTAGATGGGGTGGGGTATTTAGCAAGTAAATCAGTAACTGGGCCAGGAGATTTTGATAGTTTCAATCTGCAAGGGGACTTTGCGGAGGCATATGTTGTTGTTTTTGGTGATTTGCTCATTGACAGGTACTTTACTTTGTTTGGTTTAGAATTAGTGGAACTTGAAACAGTCATATCAGCCTCTTCTTCATCTGATGGTTCATGCCACGAGGGAGACTTCCCAAATGCAACACGTCGCTTCTTGGACCTACTAACAGTGGGAGTTTTAGGAGAATCAGGGTTGGCTATCTTGGGTCGTTTAATTGGGCTGGTGAAGGAAGATATGTCACCAACTGCTGGGGATTTAGAGGACACATTGGATAAAACAGCTTCAACTTTGCTCTTGTTGAGCTTCTTAATCTCCTTCTTCAGTTTATCAATAGTCGACTGATATCCCTTCTCGGCAGTAGAGTATTGTTCTAAATTCGCATTTGCAATTTTTAACTGACCTTCTTTCTCTTTCAACTTTTGACTAGTGACCTTGAAATTCTTTTGTTTGTCCTTCAATACACCCATTTCGGTTTTAAGATCCTCATATTGAAAACGATATTTAGAATTGTCTGATTCTAACTGCTCCATTTTCAAATGTAGGTCAGCAACTTCATTTTGCTTTTCAGTCAAAAATCCTTCAAACTTTAACTTTTCAGAATCACTCAATTTCTGTTCAGCTTGATGAAGAGACAATTTTTCCAAGAGTTCCTTTTTGGCTTGTTCCAAAAGTCCGATTTTCAAGTTTAACGATTTCAGTTCGTCAGTGGTTGCAGAGGTTGATGTTATTTTGGCATCATCAAGCTTCAGTATTTTGTTTTGGAGTTTGCTGATTTCTTCTGCCAATGCTGATATATCCCCAGCCTTATTGGAAATGGAGCTCTTTAATTGCACATTCTCCTTTTCACAAGCTTCTTTTTGGAATGCGACGTTTTTCAACTCTTTAGACAAATCAATCTTCACTTTAGCTAAATCACCGTTTAAGTTTTTTATCAACATATCTTTCTCACGAAGACTTGCAGTGGCTTCACTCAGTTGATCGTATAATTTCTGTTGACGATCTGAGGAATCAATTACAGCTGAATTTATTGACGATTTAGATTTGTCAACTTCTATCAAAAGCTGATCGACTCTAGCTTGTAATTGGAAATTCTTCTGCTCTAGGTCACAGCAGATCTTCATCTTTTCTTCAACTAATTTTTCTGCTTTATCTTTTCTTGAAGAAATGTCCGACAAATTTTGCTCTAACTTCATAGCAGATTTCAAGAGATCTGTTATCTTCTGAGCTGAGGATTGAATTTGGTCTTTCAGCTTTAAAGCTGCTGCATCTTTTTTGGCAAGTATGTTGTCCTGATGTCGTACACTTCCTCTCAATGATTTCATTTCACTGCTGCAGCAGTCAAATGTTTCTTGCATGACTGACACTGTTCTGGTGAGGTTATCGTGTTCATCTTTTAAATGTTGCATACTCAGCAACAATTCATTGACTAGCTGTTTTAATGACTCATTTTTAGAAACCAGCTCCCCTAGCTCACAATCTTTTCCCGACAATGACAAGGCCATAGATTGGTAATCCTGCTCAAGTTGTTCACATTTGCTTTTCAATTCACGATATTCCAACACCATTTTGTCTAAATCAGATGCAATTGTTTTTGAGTGATTGTCATGGTCAGATGATTTATTTTCTAACTCTACTAGCTTGTTATCCTTTGTTCTATTGGACAACGTGAGGCCTTCGATTTCTTGCAAGTATTCAACCTCTTTTAACTGAACACTATTAAGACTTTCAGATATAGAGTTAAGCTGAGTTTCAATCTCTTCTCTGGTACGAGACAGTTCTTGCATTTTGGCTTCTTTATCTTCAACTAAAGCCTTCAGCTCAAGCTCATTCTTCATTGCTGTGCTACATGTATCAGTTAGATTCTTCACTTCAGCTTCACTACATTCTTGCTTTTCCTGTAGATCTTCCACGCATTTGACCAGTTGGGAAACACTATCTTTCAGCGACCTATTTTCACTCTCAATGCGATCATTCTTTGATGCCATCTCATTATATTGAGTCGACAACTGAGTTAGTGAATCAGTTAGCTCAGTCAGCTCAGTTTGAAGTTCCTCAATTTGCTGCTCAGCATCATCTTTGTAACTGTTGAACTGATCTGAAATGTTTTTACTTTCTTGCTGTAGTTTTTCTACATTCTCCTGTGCACACTTATAGGCTGATTTAGTTACATTGATCATATTTTGAAGTTCATCTAGCTTTGAGTCTTGAGAGGCTATAAAAGCTAGCTGCTTGGTTTTGTCACTTTCTAAATTCTTTATCTTATCTTCGAGGGAAGAGATGACACTGCGTTTGTCAAGTAACTGTCTAGAAATATCATCAATGTCCAATTTACAAGAAGCAACTTCCTTTTCTAAAGCCATATTGGTATTTTTGGTGCTCTCAATTTCATTTTTGGATGAAAATGCTAGTTCTTCAAGGGTAATTTCTTTCTCTTTGACACAAGCTTTCAGAGCATCTACTCTTTTTTCAGTAGCTTCAACCACTTCCAGCATTTTGGTTTTCATCTCTTGAATCTGCTTAATGTTATCAGCAGCTAACATTCTTAGCGAGTCTCTATCTTCTTCACCACGGACAATAGATGTTTGAAGATTTTCAGAGTGATTTTTAAGAGCAATGAACAACTCCCTGGCAGTTTTTAACTTCACATTGATCTGTGCTTGATTCATCTGTTCCTTTTGAAGTAAAGTCACCAGATTTTCATTTTCGATCTGCTTCTCTAACACTTGATTACGTTGGTTTGTGATAAGACGCTCACACTCTTTGAGCTTGGCGATTTTTTGCTTAAGCTCAATTTCTGAAGTCGTTTGCCATTTTCGAATTTTCTCAGCTTCTTCTTGAAGTTTGCAGTGAATTGAAGTCATATTCATATTAGATTTTTCTGCTTCATGTTGTGCTACTGATAGTCGCTGTCTCTGTTGTAACATGTCCTAAATGAGGTGGGTGGATTTATTTTAAACTCTAAGAACAAATATTATCATTAAAATTATGATTATGTATGGAAAGAGAACAGAAAATTAAAATGAACGAGTGGGGCAATGTTTCAAAATCTTGAGGACTTGATATGAATCTTGAGGACTTGATATGACAGGTATTATATTAGTTATAAACAAGTCAAACAAAAGTAGTAAAAAGTCATAAACTATTCTTGATCTCAATAATAACAGTCACACTCATAACAATCTTCTGTACATAAAAATCATGATAATAACATTATAAAAATCACTGTATTCATTAACATTAAATAAAATTCACTATACAATATAACAGTAAACTAGTATTGCATCTTTTAAGGCATAAATTGCCTTAAAATTCAAGATTTAATGAAATTGAGCATCTAGCTAATAAAACATCATCCTACATTTAAAGTATGAACCACTGTACATCCATGTTGAATAAACTTAGCAATGCTACCATAGTTCAATTTCGGACAGTAAGAAACATTAAGATACTTAAGATTCTTACAACCAACACGAAGGTTTCTGATTCCTTTATCTGTTACGTTTTTAATCTCTGAAATATTCAGTTTGACCAGGTAAATGCAAACACTGGCCATGCTGGTTAGGGTAGTATTAGTTATCAATTTACAACCACCAATGTTCAAATGTGTCAAGCATTTGTTTTCAAAAATTAGCATTTTCATACCATAATCTGATATACTAGTACAGTAAGAAATATCCAAATACTTCAAGTTTTCTAGACTTGCCATTCGCTCTATACCGATATCTGTAATGAGATTGCATTCAGCCATTGATAAATAGTCAAGTTTTTGGCATTGACGAAGATAACCTGCTCCATAGTCAGTGATGGAACAGCCAGAAACATCAAGCAATCTAAGGGTGGGATGAGTGGCAATCATGGCCATACCAACATCAGTTACATTTTCACAGTAAGCAATAGAGAGGTATGCCAACTTTGGACAACAGCTCACAAGCCTTTGGATGCTTTTATCTCCAACTCGTATGCAATTAGTCAGGCTGAGTTCTTGTAGGTAAGGAGCGGCAGGACTATCAAGAATATGCTTGATGCCTGCATCTGTCAGTCGGACACAGTCTGTCAGATTGATGACTGTGAGTGTTCGAGAGTTTGCAATTGGTTTTAAAGCAGTGTCATAAACTCTGAGACAATCGACAAGATGAATGTGGTGCATGTTTCTTCCTCCCATTATTTCAGCAACACCACTGTCTGTAACAAATCTGTTCCCTTCAAAGTAAAACTTTTCAAGCTGAACCAAATTAGTAGCAATGTATTTCAGCCCTCTATCGGTTATTTTAATCGCTTGTATTAGTGATAAAATCCTTAGTCTTTGACATGTGGCAGCCAATTTAGAAAGGCAATCATCAGTTAGGCCTGGTATGTTGTCTAATAAAAGTGAGTTGAGAAGAACACAACATTGGCCAATGTTTGCCAAGCAATTTCCATTTATACTTGGACACCCAGACAGATTCAAATGAGAAAGTGTCCTCAGAGACTTGCTTATCACCAGATAATAAAACCCAGCTTCAGTTAGGTCTACACAATAAGAGACGTCTAAGTATTTCAAACAAGGGAAGTACTTGGCAATATTAGCGAAACAGGTATCATCACACTTGCTGTTTGCTAGATTCAGATAGCCCACAAAGGGACAGCTTACGCCTACTTGCTGGAGCAAATGAGACCTCACATTACATCCTGACAAATCAATATCTTGAAGATTCTTACAATCTTTCAAGTTCTCCAAAATTTTAGGGGAAACACTATCACAGTTTTCCATTTTTATATGGTAAAGGAAAAATTTATAACGTCTTAATATGTTGCAGAAAACGACATCATTGATTTCAAATCCAGCTTTAGTCAAGTCGAGCTCTGTGTAAAGAGTACACTCTTGTAGCAGAACATGCCAGGTGTTACATACCATTGAGCAAGCTATTCTTGACTTGAGGTCTAAGTTTTTAAAAATTTTAGCAGCAACATTGGGAGGCAGTTTCGAAATGTTATCAACATCTTGGAGTTTGTCTTTATTTTCTGGATCATCTGGATTATCTGGAGTTTCAAGAGCATTTTGTTTTAAGGCTTGACTTTGAAAATAATTATTTTTCCAGTGTATATCCCTAGTGAACAAGTGCCATCTCATAAAGCATCTGGACAAGTATGTGTATGATAAAGATCTCATCAAGATTTGTATGGCTTTTTCAACATTCATGGAGTAATTCTTGGTTCTGCTTACCCAGATATTAACAATTTTTCGTAAGAGCTTGGAGTAAAAATGATTATCAGCTAACGTGGTGTTTCTATGGATGATTGACCTTTTTGTTAGCTGTTGAGTATGGTACTCTTTCAATGCAAGAAAATACTTCTTAAGCTGAACTTTAGAGCTGTGCTCAATAGATATGATCATCTGCTCATGTTGCTTTTTCCTCAAGAACGGATTATCAAATATGTGTTGCTCAAGGAAGCATGGTTTAAATACACGTTTAATAGGAAGATCATTTCCCTTAATGAAGCTGTCCCAAGATAGTGATGTTTCTTTAAATTCTCCAGACTGTATTCTGCGTAGGTGACAAAGGACATCTTTAAGAGGATTTGCTGGTTTATAGAACGTCAAAACTGTCAATAATCCTTCTATAGTCTCAGGCACTTGATAAGAAAGAAGATATTTTCTTACCTCATGGTTATCATACATATTTTCTTTTGTCATATTTCTCCTGTAATCATTATTATTGAAAGTTTTGGTTGTTTATAAATTAATCATAATATAATCAATTATTAACCATCCAGTGGGCAACAACATATTCTAAGTGAATCTATCATAAAATACTTCTTTGCTTACCCTGACAGGTTCTGATCTGCGGGTTTGAAATCCCAATAACAGTGTGTTGGGACATATTGGACCTTCCAGATGGCAGCTAAGAATAGTGAGCTGTTGTAAATGTAATCCATTATTTGGCTGTCTAGACCTTTACTTGTGTGCTGGCCGAAGAAAAGTGTTTTTCTCTAGAAGCAAGCCAATGTTTCTGATTTTTAAAATTGCACCAAGTAACATACTCTTTTTGCTAGAAGTGCAGTGATTTTTTTATAGAAAAGATGTCTACAACAGCTTCAATCCAAGTCCTCTGTTTGTAGTCGTAGTTATTGATTGATTGAATCAGCCTGGTTATTTTGTTAGCTAACTAATTCGTGGTTTAAGCTCTTATTTTATTTATGATTAAAGGAATGTAAAACCTTTTTGTTTCATTGAAAACTTTTCGTTTCATTGTGCCAACTCTTTGAAGTAGACTTTTCTAGAGTGCCATTGTCTTTGGTCAAGGCAGTGTCGTAACGAAGGGCCCCGCCGACCCCGCTGTGCGTGCGCCATCTTAGGGGGGGGCGCAAATCGTCGTTTGAATGTGGGACAATTTGGAAAACTAAACTACGGTACTATAAAACTGTGCGTTTTGCTCTAGAACCACACTATTTTAGAGATTTTACCAGCTATCTTCTCAAATCATATAATTTGTTCAATTTTAGGGAGGGGCGCCAACAGGAGAGGGGGCGCCAACAGGGGGGCGCTTTGTCAGCAGGGGCGCCAACAGGCAACGTTACGCCACTGGGTCAAGTCAATGTTGCTGTAATTCCGGGTGTCCCTTAAATGCAGGGGCTATTACAGAGTGAGCACTACAGCTGCATTCTGCAACTGAGTCTGTGAGAAAATGTTTGCTAGAGTAGGATGTACACCATTGCATGCGTAGCACCGTCATGGAGCATTTTCACAGATTGTCCAATATCTCACCATTCAATTTTTTTATCTCGGATTGTCGGATTGTTCTTGGTCCCAATGTTAAGATCATGCAATGCTGAGCTCGGATGAATAAAATAAATCAGGACATGTGCATGCCTGAACATGGATATAATGAGGAGTGTGTTAGTGGCAGTTAGAGGTGTACGTGGGAATGGAAAGAAGGCATGGACCGCCCCTATATCTAATGTGTCCTTCAACCTGATACCTGAGGAAGAAAACAAGTTTTTTAATACACCCACCGAAGATATACATTTAATTTCAGAAATATTATCAAAAGCTAGGAAACTTTTAAACGTTCTTAATCCGGCAATGCTTTAAGGAGAGAAAAAAACATGGAAGTAACAAAATGAATAAAATATAAATAAAATATTGAATAAATTACATTCAATTTTAGCAATGGCCAATTGGCTGACTATAAGGTCATGGCCTGAACAAACAATTTTTTTAAATAGTCAAGTGATGCTAAAGCAGAGCACAAATGTGTAATAAGTTAATAGATTAAAAACTGATTCATGTGATGCATTACGCAGAGCACAGATAAAAATACTGATTCAATGATTAAAATTATAGCTGTGAGTGTCAATAAATTACTGAGTCATAGAAAAGGAACGATGTACACGTGATCTGAGATACCAATATCTCAATATCAAAAGGATAGTGTCTAGAAACATTCATAGTCCATGGTGGCAGTTATCAAGTTAAACGAAGTTTTAATACTTTCAACACTACTATATAACAAATAATTTGAGGATGTCCAATATGTCCATGGCTTGCTAAAGTCAACTGCATCGGGGGTACTATGATGGTCCAGGGGGTGCTGAATCAGAAGACTGGCACGCTAACCTGTTAAGAAGTTAAGTAGTTGTAGTGAATAATGTTTCTGTTTGGAAATGTATAACTCCATTCTCACCACAATCCACAATTGGACAATTGGACAACCCTGATTAATGTATAGATAGTGTTGAAAGAATTTTGAGCTTAAATCTTGAACCAATACTTCTGATAACTTTTGGGGCTGTGCTCCAAGAACAGGCTGACATATATATGGCTTATGGATTATATTTAATGTATTCTGATTAAATGATAGGGCTTGCCAGTCCAACCACCTCATATTTTTCATACTCACTCACTCTCTTGTCCCATGTGTCGTAGTCCGTCAGTCTGTTCAATTTTTCAATCTTTTGAATCATTTTGACTAATCCAGTTTAAATACACTTTCATTGTTTTCCACAACGGAACATTTGAAATTGCTATCTGCTTTTCTTTCTTTCCAGGGAGTGTGCTGGTTGGACGTGAAGGTGCCCCCTGGATTGCCTGGTACCCCCAATTGCTTCTACGCCATGAACGATACACCCACTGACTCTTCTCAATCTGTTCCGGACCAGACTTCAACTACTACGGTTCCGGATCAGACTACACCTGCACCCACGACTCCTACCATTATGGTGGAAATTGACGAAGTACTGAAGGATGTTGAAAATATAATTCTTTCAGAATACCACGAATCAGAGGAAAATAAAGATTGTAGCAGCCTCCTTAGTTTCTTCTCAGGGTCTACCCCCCTTGACAACTTCCTGTTGACTCACTCGCAGAGCCTGCGCTCAGAGGTAGATATCATTAAGCTCAACATCTGTAACATTCTAAAACTTGATGTGAACAAATTTGCAATCATAACGCCATCTATGGTTAAGAGCTGCCCATCTCTTAAAAAACTCACCTTAGCAGAGGGTCTACTATCCCTGCTTGGCCTTGCAGAAAATGTCTGTGCTGTAATAAGTGGCAAGAGATGTGACCACGAGGTTAAGTCCCCTTCTTATTTGTCAGCCCCCTCCAGCATTCCAATGGGTCATACTACTTCTAACGAAAGCTCTATACACAAGTCCTTAGAAGATATTCAAACATCCATTAAAAACTTGAAAGACAATGATAGCCACCTTAGGACTCTTGACTCCATAAACACCAAGCTTGCTGAGCTCAAAGTTGATATTAACTGTTTCAAAAACAGCAGATCCTCAAACGTATCCACTCCTGACCTGCCCATGCCTCCTTTTATCATAGGGCCACCAGCAGCCTGTGAAACAGACCATGAACAGCTCCTGCTAGATGCACAGAAGCCTTCAAGTGCAGACGACCCTAAGTCTAAGCACATCATGTCTTATTTACCAGAATTCATTGATACAACCTTGAACTCTCAGCTATTAGATTTCCTTGCTCAACAGAACGATGATTTTGTCAAGAACACAGAAAACGGGCATGGAGTTATAAGCTTTGGTGAACGATATGATTACCCCGGGGCAAAAGCTGCTAAGCCCATATCAGAAGACCTGCCTGAAGTTCTTGCTGAACTTGCCTCAAGGATAAAGAAGCTTTGCCCTGAAACAGTTATTAATCAATGCCTGATCAACCGGTACAATGATGAGAGCAGTTTTCTCCCTAAACACTCGGATAACGAGAACTCGCTTGTGCATGATAGTTCGATTTTCACTGTATCGTTAGGAAGCCAGTGTTCAGTTAAGTTCTCAATGAAAGGATCAGAAAGTGGGGAAGTCATTGAGACAATAGAGGGACGCAGTCTATATATCATGAGCAAGCAGTCTCAGTTCCTCTGGGACCACAGAATAGATAAGAGCAGTGAAAGGAGGGACGTGAGATTCAGTATAACGTTCCGCTACGTGAGCAGCAGTAGCAATGCAACATTGATTATTGGTGACTCAAATACCCGGTTCCTCCGATTTGGTGCTGGAAAAGGGACATTCGGTCACAAACTGCCTGGAAAAAGACTTGAATGCTTCACAATAGATCAGTTAGACCCTGCCCTTTGTGTAGGATATAAGAATGTTGTAGTACACTGTGGTGTAAATAATATTAAGAGGGGAGGGGGTGATGTTACCAATCACGTTATTTTTGTCAAAAGAAAAACCAGTTCAAGGGTAAAGGATCAGGAGTGTGTCTTTACCTGCACAACTCCTTTAACTTTAACAAAATCCCTGGCTTATCTCTCTGTAATGAACACATAGAATCACTGTTCGTATCCATCACTAGCTTGCAAGACCCAACTGTTGTAGGGGTTATATACCGTCCCCCAAACGCATCACTTGAACTGTTCAACGAAGCATATGAATGTATTCTCTCAAAACTGAATGGCAAAAAAGTATATATTCTTGGTGATTTCAATATAAACATGTTGAAGGACCCATCTCCATCAGAGGACAAATTCCAAGAAATAATATTTAACAACGGCTTCATACCAACCATATCAGTACCAACTCACCAAATGCCTGGCTGTTCCAGGACCTGTATTGACAATATCCATACCAATGTAGTAGATCAAACCCTTATTTCTGGTGTGATATCTGACAAGATCTCCCACCATCACCCTATATTCACTCTTTTTTTTTTTTTTTTTTTTTTTAAACAAATTTAAATTTTGGTATTTATTAATAACAATCAAAACATATCATATCATAAAAATAAAGCCGCGCGTTGGTTGACTGCCTCAGTATGGTGAATAATTTAAGCTTGAAGGTGCCCTACGCATTTACAGAACATTATGCGGCGATCACATGATCACGAGGACCTGTGAGCGCCAAATTTAATTTAAACTTTCTAGAAATCGTACATCACTACGAGTTACTCATGCTTTTGAATTATAGGAGTGCGGATTGTCAGGTATTTCATTCATTCATACTTAATCGGTTTAACTTTCCCCTGACTCTGTGCCAACACCTGATTCATCAGACAAAATTACTATACACTACGACTATAGTAATGCTAACTTAGAAAAGCTCTGTCTTGAAATAGAAAACGATGTAGATAGGTTCCGCCACAGCTGTAACACATTTGATTCTTTCATGCAGTTATTTCAAGAAAAGATAGATTTGTCTTGCAAACTTCTAACTCCTAGAACCACTAAACGTAACAGCATAACCAACCCTTGGATTACCCAGGGCCTAATTAATTCCATCGATAAGAAAGCTAGGTTGTATTTCGAATGGAAGAAGACTTGTACATTAAAACTACCTGACGGGGACCCAAACAAGCACATCTACTACAAGGAATTCGACAAGTTTCTCAAAAGGTCAATAAATATGGCAAAGGCTATGTGCTATACTCAAAAATTCGAGAAGTACAGCATGAATTCGAAAAAGACTTGGGAAGTTATAAATGAACTCCGTGGTAAAAATTTGTCTAGATGTAAGGACGATTTTGTCATAGATGGCCAGAGAGTTACTTGCAGACGAATAATTGCTAACAAATTTTGTGAATATTTTACATCTCTTGCAAGTAATCTCAATAAAAATGTATTGTCAAACAATAGTATTTCTCTGGAACCAGTAGAATCATTTGCTCAGTTCATGTCTAATTTAGTATCTGACTCCATATACCTAGAAGAAACTAATGAAGACGAGATTGTCGAGGTCATCAGAGATTTTCAAAATGGCAAGGCGAGTGACATACCTATAATCGTTGTAAAAAAATCGGCAAAGCTCATTGCTGGTACCTTGGCCAGGCTTTACAACACATGTATACAAAGTGGTACATTCCCAAGTATATTTAAAACTGGTAAAGTTATTCCT